TCTCACTCATGCCTCACCATGTCTCACCATGTCTCACCATGTCTCACTCATGTCTCACTCATGCCTCACTCATGCCTCACTCATGTCTCACTCATGTCTCACTCATGTCTCACTCATGCCTCACTCATTCCTCACCATGTCTCACCATGTCTCACTCATGTCTCACTCATGTCTCACTCATGCCTCACCATGTCTCACCATGTCTCACTCATGCCTCACTCATGCCTCACTCATGTCTCCCTCATGTCTCACTCATGCCTCACCATGTCTCACCATGTCTCACTCATGTCTCACTCATGCCTCACTCATGCCTCACTCATGCCTCACTCATGCCTCACTCATGCCTCACTCATGTCTCACTCATGTCTCACTCATGTCTCACTCATGCCTCACTCATTCCTCACCATGTCTCACCATGTCTCACTCATGTCTCACTCATGTCTCACTCATGCCTCACCATGTCTCACCATGTCTCACTCATGCCTCACTCATGCCTCACTCATGTCTCCCTCATGTCTCACTCATGCCTCACCATGTCTCACCATGTCTCACTCATGTCTCACTCATGCCTCACTCATGCCTCACTCATGCCTCACTCATGCCTCACTCATGCCTCACTCATGCCTCACCATGTCTAACCATGTCTCACTCATGCCTCACTCATGCCTCACTCATGTCTCCCTCATGTCTCACTCATGCCTCACCATGTCTCACTCATGCCTCACCATGTCTCACTCATGTCTCACTCATGTCTCACTCATGCCTCACTCATGTCTCCCTCATGTCTCACTCATGCCTCACCATGTCTCACCATGTCTCACTCATGTCTCACTCATGCCTCACTCATGCCTCACTCATGTCTCACTCATGTCTCACTCATGTCTCACTCATGCCTCACTCATTCCTCACCATGTCTCACCATGTCTCACTCATGTCTCACTCATGTCTCACTCATGCCTCACCATGTCTCACCATGTCTCACTCATGCCTCACTCATGCCTCACTCATGTCTCCCTCTTGTCTCACTCATGCCTCACCATGTCTCACCATGTCTCACTCATGTCTCACTCATGCCTCACTCATGTCTCCCTCATGTCTCACTCATGTCTCACTCATGTGTCACTCATGTCTCACTCATGTCTCACTCATGCCTCACTCATGCCTCACCATGTCTCACCATGTCTCACTCATGTCTCACTCATGCCTCACTCATGTCCCCCTCATGTCTCACTCATGTCTCACTCATGTCTCACTCATGCATCACTCATGCCTCACCATGTCTCACCATGTCTCACTCATGTCTCACTCATGTCTCACTCATGCCTCACCATGTCTCACCATGTCTCACTCATGTCTCACTCATGCCTCACTCATGCCTCACCATGTCTCACCATGTCTCACTCATGTCTCACTCATGTCTCACTCATGCCTCACCATGTCTCACCATGTCTCACTCATGTCTCACTCATGTCTCACTCATGCCTCACCATGTCTCACCATGTCTCACTCATGTCTCACTCATGTCTCACTCATGCCTCACCATGTCTCACCATGTCTCACTCATGCCTCACTCATGCCTCACTCATGTCTCCCTCTTGTCTCACTCATGCCTCACCATGTCTCACCATGTCTCACTCATGTCTCACTCATGCCTCACTCATGTCTCCCTCATGTCTCACTCATGTCTCACTCATGTGTCACTCATGTCTCACTCATGTCTCACTCATGCCTCACTCATGCCTCACCATGTCTCACCATGTCTCACTCATGTCTCACTCATGCCTCACTCATGTCCCCCTCATGTCTCACTCATGTCTCACTCATGTCTCACTCATGTCTCACTCATGCCTCACTCATGCCTCACCATGTCTCACCATGTCTCACTCATGTCTCACTCATGTCTCACTCATGCCTCACTCATGCCTCACTCATGTCTCCCTCTTGTCTCACTCATGCCTCACCATGTCTCACCATGTCTCACTCATGTCTCACTCATGCCTCACTCATGTCTCCCTCATGTCTCACTTATGTCTCACCATGTCTCACTCATGTCTCACTCATGCCTCACTCATGCCTCACTCATGTCTCCCTCATGTCTCACTCATGTCTCACTCATGTCTCACTCATGTCTCACTCATGCCTCACTCATGCCTCACCATGTCTCACCATGTCTCACTCATGTCTCACTCATGCCTCACTCATGCCTCACCATGTCTCACCATGTCTCACCATGTCTCACTCATGTCTCACTCATGCCTCACTCATGCCTCACTCATGTCTCACTCATGTCTCACTCATGTCTCACTCATGCCTCACTCATTCCTCACCATGTCTCACCATGTCTCACTCATGTCTCACTCATGTCTCACTCATGCCTCACCATGTCTCACCATGTCTCACTCATGCCTCACTCATGCCTCACTCATGCCTCCCTCTTGTCTCACTCATGCCTCACCATGTCTCACCATGTCTCACTCATGTCTCACTCATGCCTCACTCATGTCTCCCTCATGTCTCACTCATGTCTCACTCATGTCTCACTCATGTCTCACTCATGCCTCACTCATGCCTCACCATGTCTCACCATGTCTCACTCATGTCTCACTCATGCCTCACTCATGCCTCACCATGTCTCACCATGTCTCACCATGTCTCACTCATGTCTCACTCATGCCTCACTCATGCCTTACTCATGTCTCACTCATGTCTCACTCATGTCTCACTCATGCCTCACTCATTCCTCACCATGTCTCACCATGTCTCACTCATGTCTCACTCATGTCTCACTCATGCCTCACCATGTCTCACCATGTCTCACTCATGTCTCTCATGCCTCACTCATGTCCCCCTCATGTCTCACTCATGTCTCACTCATGTCTCACTCATGTCTCACTCATGCCTCACTCATGCCTCACCATGTCTCACCATGTCTCACTCATGTCTCACTCATGCCTCACTCATGCCTCACCATGTCTCACCATGTCTCACCATGTCTCACTCATGTCTCACTCATGCCTCACTCATGCCTCACTCATGTCTCACTCATGTCTCACTCATGTCTCACTCATGCCTCACTCATTCCTCACCATGACTCACCATGTCTCACTCATGTCTCACTCATGTCTCACGCATGCCTCACCATGTCTCACCATGTCTCACTCATGCCTCACTCATGCCTCACTCATGTCTCCCTCTTGTCTCACTCATGCCTCACCATGTCTCACCATGTCTCACTCATGTCTCACTCATGCCTCACTCATGTCTCCCTCATGTCTCACTCATGTCTCACTCATGTCTCACTCATGTCTCACTCATGCCTCACTCATGCCTCACCATGTCTCACCATGTCTCACTCATGTCTCACTCATGCCTCACTCATGCCTCACCATGTCTCACCATGTCTCACCATGTCTCACTCATGTCTCACTCATGCCTCACTCATGCCTTACTCATGTCTCACTCATGTCTCACTCATGTCTCACTTATGCCTCACTCATTCCTCACCATGTCTCACCATGTCTCACTCATGTCTCACTCATGTCTCACTCATGCCTCACCATGTCTCACCATGTCTCACTCATGTCTCTCATGCCTCACTCATGTCCCCCTCATGTCTCACTCATGTCTCACTCATGTCTCACTCATGTCTCACTCATGCCTCACTCATGTCCCCCTCATGTCTCACTCATGTCTCACTCATGTCTCACTCATGTCTCACTCATGCCTCACTCATGCCTCACCATGTCTCACCATGTCTCACCATGTCTCACTCATGTCTCACTCATGCCTCACTCATGCCTCACTCATGTCTCACTCATGTCTCACTCATGTCTCACTCATGCCTCACTCCTTTCTCACCATGTCTCACCATGTCTCACTCATGCCTCACTCATGTCTCACTCATGCCTCACCATGTCTCACCATGTCTCACTCATGCCTCACTCATGCCTCACTCATGTCTCCCTCATGTCTCACTCATGCCTCACCATGTCTCACCATGTCTCACTCATGTCTCACTCATGCCTCACTCATGCCTCACTCATGCCTCACTCATGCCTCACTCATGCCTCACTCATGCCTCACTCATGTCTCACTCATGTCTCACTCATGTCTCACTCATGTCTCACTCATGCCTCACTCATGCCTCACTCATGTCTCCCTCATGTCTCACTCATGCCTCACCATGTCTCACTCATGCCTCACCATGTCTCACTCATGTCTCACTCATGTCTCACTCATGCCTCACTCATGTCTCCCTCATGTCTCACTCATGCCTCACCATGTCTCACCATGTCTCACTCATGTCTCACTCATGCCTCACTCATGCCTCACTCATGTCTCACTCATGTCTCACTCATGTCTCACTCATACCTCACTCATTCCTCACCATGTCTCACCATGTCTCACTCATGTCTCACTCATGTCTCACTCATGCCTCACCATGTCTCACTATGTCTCACTCATGCCTCACTCATGCCTCACTCATGTCTCCCTCTTGTCTCACTCATGCCTCACCATGTCTCACCATGTCTCACTCATGTCTCACTCATGCCTCACTCATGTCTCCCTCATGTCTCACTCATGTCTCACTCATGTGTCACTCATGTCTCACTCATGTCTCACTCATGCCTCACTCATGCCTCACCATGTCTCACCATGTCTCACTCATGTCTCACTCATGCCTCACTCATGTCCCCCTCATGTCTCACTCATGTCTCACTCATGCCTCACTCATGTCTCACTCATGTCTCACTCATGCCTCACTCATGCCTCACCATGTCTCACCATGTCTCACTCATGTCTCACTCATGCCTCACTCATGTCTCACTCATGTCTCACTCATGCCTCACTCATGTCCCCCTCATGTCTCACTCATGTCTCACTCATGTGTCACTCATGTCTCACTCATGTCTCACTCATGCCTCACTCATGCCTCACCATGTCTCACCATGTCTCACTCATGTCTCACTCATGCCTCACTCATGTCCCCCTCATGTCTCACTCATGTCTCACTCATGTCTCACTCATGCCTCACTCATGTCTCCCTCATGTCTCACTCATGCCTCACCATGTCTCACTCATGCCTCACCATGTCTCACTCATGTCTCACTCATGTCTCACTCATGTCTCACTCATGCCTCACTCATGTCTCCCTCATGTCTCACTCATGCCTCACCATGTCTCACCATGTCTCACTCATGTCTCACTCATGCCTCACTCATGCCTCACTCATGTCTCACTCATGTCTCACTCATGTCTCACTCATGCCTCACTCATTCCTCACCATGTCTCACCATGTCTCACTCATGTCTCACTCATGTCTCACTCATGCCTCACCATGTCTCACCATGTCTCACTCATGCCTCACTCATGCCTCACTCATGTCTCCCTCTTGTCTCACTCATGCCTCACCATGTCTCACCATGTCTCACTCATGTCTCACTCATGCCTCACTCATGTCTCCCTCATGTCTCACTCATGTCTCACTCATGTGTCACTCATGTCTCACTCATGTCTCACTCATGCCTCACTCATGCCTCACCATGTCTCACCATGTCTCACTCATGTCTCACTCATGCCTCACTCATGTCCCCCTCATGTCTCACTCATGTCTCACTCATGTCTCACTCATGTCTCACTCATGCCTCACTCATGCCTCACCATGTCTCACCATGTCTCACTCATGTCTCACTCATGTCTCACTCATGCCTCACCATGTCTCACCATGTCTCACTCATGTCTCACTCATGCCTCACTCATGCCTCACCATGTCTCACCATGTCTCACTCATGTCTCACTCATGTCTCACTCATGCCTCACCATGTCTCACCATGTCTCACTCATGTCTCACTCATGCCTCACTCATGTCCCCCTCATGTCTCACTCATGTCTCACTCATGTCTCACTCATGTCTCACTCATGCCTCACTCATGCCTCACCATGTCTCACCATGTCTCACTCATGTCTCACTCATGTCTCACTCATGCCTCACCATGTCTCACCATGTCTCACTCATGTCTCACTCATGCCTCACTCATGCCTCACTCATGCCTCACTCATGTCTCCCTCATCTCTCACTCATGTCTCACTCATGTGTCACTCATGTCTCACTCATGTCTCACTCATGCCTCACTCATGCCTCACCATGTCTCACCATGTCTCACTCATGTCTCACTCATGCCTCACTCATGTCCCCCTCATGTCTCACTCATGTCTCACTCATGTCTCACTCATGTCTCACTCATGTCTCACTCATGCCTCACCATGTCTCACCATGTCTCACTCATGTCTCACTCATGCCTCACTCATGCCTCACTCATGTCTGAGTCATCAATTGTAACGTCCGCGGACGGAAATTACCCTAGAGAATGTAAACGCATTCCGCTGCGCCTCTGGTGACCCTCGTTTTACGCAGTGGGCAGCGAGGCGTTGTATCAGTGACTCCCCATGGCTCACAGGCTCATGGTAGTAAGTCAGTGAAGTGACAAACACGGAACATGTATAGCATGGTGTGACGCGCGACAGGGATGCAGAGTCTCCTCTAAAATGAATGTGGGGTTTAAACAGAAATCTGCCGTTTTTCGCTTGGCGGGAGCTTGTGCCGGACAGAAATGAGTCCGATTCCAGAAGCGGCAATCTGTGATGTGACTCACCTGCGCCCGCGCGATGGACGATCGCATGTCCTGCTGGAGGTATCGCACGCTCGTGCGACACCACACTCGCATCGCCTCCTGCCGCGGATTGGCGGCCTGCGTGTGCTTGAACCACACCACCCACGCGCACAGCCCCACCCATCCCGCCACCCACGCCGCCCCCACCACCGCCCGCCGCACGCCCCGCGGCACGCGGCGCAGCATCGTAAAAAGGGCGAGGCCGTTTGGGCATGCGCGACTGCAGGTTCCGAGGGGTTACTCTCGGCTTTTTACCGAAGAGAAACTCCTGGGAAACTTAGCGTGAGCGCGATTCGAGGATCTACCCTGGGCGGGCGGTGCTGTCAGCTTCCTCGCCCGCTATTGGTTCAGTTTCGAACTTACGGGAGGGAATGGTTTTGCGAACGCATTGAGATAAGTTCGCATTTCTGGTTACTACCGCTGCTGTTACTCTCGCGCGGAATTCGAGGGCTGTTCAGTTTTGAAGTCCTGATTCGTAATTGTTACGAGCCCAGAAATAGACCACAAATTTGTTAAGTAATTAGAGTCAATGTACACGCCTGTATTGTTTTGCACTATGTATAGCTGGAAATGTGATGTGTTTCGGGATTGGCATAGTGTTCCTCTGTTCAAGCAAACTTATTAAACAATTTCAGAGTCGGGCGACTGAAGCACGTAACTATGTGCTCTGCACACATAATATCCGTGACATGGATCACCTGGTAGGCATCGTTGCATCTTCCGGTGCCCAGCTTCAGCAGCTTTGTCTCCTCGTCTTCCCCCCTCTCTTCAAGCAGTCTCACAAAAGCAAGCGGGTGCATCTCTTCCTCACCGGTTTCTGTGATGACTTTAACGTGAAACAGCATTAGCAATTGTGCGTACGACACCGGATCAACGCCGCTACTGATGCGCAGGATGTTCCCGCTCTTCAGAGAAACACAAGAAAACCAGGCTGATCCATGGAACTGGGTATCCGCCCTAGCGTAATGCTCCTCGCGGCCTTCATGTGCCAGAAGTGCCACGGCTGTATGGACCTGCACAGTTGGGAAGACAAGACGATTTGCAAGCTTAAACGTTTAGTTGCGCTGCCCACGGTCACTAGCTGATTGACATGAGTCAATGTTGCAGCCTAAACACTTTTACGAAATTTGTTATGGAGCGTTAGACATATGTGAATTTCATCCGCGGCGTATCCAGCCCCATTGAGTGCTGCTGGAAAGAGGTCCATGATGGTGCCATGGATTTGTGCATAGCTGAGCCAGGCGCCGTCGCCCACCCTGCTGTCCTGGATGTGTGGCATGGAGATAGTGGTTAATGTGGCGGTCATGACTGGATGGTTCTGTGCTGCTGCCTGCATGGTGTGTGATAGTAAGGGGGGTGAGAGGGGTGGGGAGGGTGGGAGGCATCCATTGGGGTGCGGGATGAGCTAGGGAAAGAGCGGATGGAAGGCAAAGAGTGGGTTAATGGGGGAGGGGAGGGCAGAAAGGGGATGCTGAGATGAGCGGAGGGGTGTGGGGGGGCTGGGAATAGGTTTCTGGGTTGGGATATGGCTAGGAAACGGTGCTTGGGTGATGAGAAGGGCCAGGAATGCGTTTTTGGGAGAGGGGTCGGCAAAAATAGGGTGCTTGGGCGAGGGGTGCGCAGAGATAGGGTGCAACAGAGACGGGTGGGCAAGATAGGGTGCTGGAGCGAAGGGTGGGCAGAGAAAGGGTGCATGGGAGAGAGGTGGGTGGGTGAGTGGTGGGCAGAGATAGGGTGCTTGGGAGAGTGGTGGGCTGAGAAACGGTTCTAGGGTGTGGGGTGGGTGGGTGAGCAGTGGGCTGCCATGGGCTGCTTGGGAGAGTGCCTGGCAGAGAAACGTCGCTTGTGTATTGGGTGGGCTGAGAAACGGTTCTAGGGAGTGGGGTGGGTGGGTGAGTGGTGGGCAGAGATTTCGTTGAGGGTTTAGGCGACAGGTGGGCAGATATAGCGTGCTTGGGAGAAGTGGGGGAGCAGAGATATGGTGCTTGGGAGAGTGCTGGGTGGAGAAACGGTTCTTGGGTGTGGGGTGAGTGTGTGAGCGGTGGGTCATAGGGTGCTTGGGAGAGTGGTGGGCAGAGATAAAGTGCTTGGGAGAGTGGTGAGCATAGATCCGGTTTTCTGGAGAGGGGTGGGTAAGTGAATTGTGGACAGAGGGGTTTTAGAGGGTGTGGGGTTGCATGTTGAGTGTAGGCCACTTACCTTCAGAATTGCGGTCTGCCGGCAAGGCTTGCCCACAAAGGCACTGGGAAGGTGGAGAAGGACCGTGCGAAGTGCAGTCGTCCGCATGATGGCGTCTTCAAAGTCCCTGTAATTGGAGGCCCGATATGGCTGCTTGCAGTTTGCAGAGTGTGCGTACTCGAAGGTAGCAGTAGAGAACTCAGATGGGGTGCCGGACCTGCGGATTGAGTCGGGAAAATGAACTAACTGGTGCACTTTCGGCAGCTTTCACATGTGGCCAGCACGTGGAAGGTTTGTCTTCAGGAGGCGCACCAGCCTGTCACGTACAAGCACCGAGAGGTGAGGGGGGGGGGGGGGGGGGGGGGGGAAGGGGAGGGGAGGGAATTAGTTGTTAACCAATCCACAATCTACGACCTGGGCATGGGTGTGATTGTGACCTACAACACCTACTCCTTCAAGTCCACTAGGTACTTGCGAAGCTTGGCTTTTGTGTACCACGCCGCCCTGAAGAAGTCGTGGAACCATACCATGAACGTCCGCAGCACCGTCATCTTCACCGGCGCCTGGTTGAGACCTTCCATGATAAGAAGGACCACCTGCATCATGAAATAGGGTGGCATCCTATTAAGTACCACTATTGCACACACCTGTTCATCTCGGCGATGTCCTCTCCCGTCACGACTTCTGCAAGAATGTATAGCCATACTCCAATGAGTATGGCGTGCAAAACATCTGGCAGGATGGCCCTGTATGGATTCCCCCATCCCTCGTGCACTTCGTGTTCGCGGTTGAACTTCCACAAAATGCACTGGATGAACGTGGAAAGGGGTTTAGGGAACATAGCAGTCTATTCCAGCGATGCTACATGAATAGAGAGTTAGGTGCAATAAATGATCGTTGCAAAACTACCCCAGACGAATGTCCAAATCTTACACAAATGGGTTAGGGATAAGGAGCTTGGCAGAGGGGTGGGCAGCGGTAGGATGCGTCGGAGAGGTGTTGGCAGAGAAAGGGTGCTTGGGAGGGGGGTGGGCAGAGATACGCTGCAGACGATTTGGGTGGGCAGAGATACGGTGCTTGGGAGAGTGGTGGGACGAGAGCGATTCTTGAAAGTGGGGTCAGTAGAGATATGGTGCTTGGGAGAGAGTTGGGAAGAGAACAGATCTTGAGAGTGGGGTGGGCATAGATATGGTTCTTGGGAGAGTGGATGGGCAGAGATACAGTGCTGACGAGTGGGGTGAGCAGAGATAGTGTGTTTGGGAGAGTTGTGGGTTGAGAACTAATCTTCCGAGTGGGGTGGGCAGAGTTAGGGTGTTTTGGAGAGTGCGTGCTTTGGAGAGCGGGTGCTTTGGAGAGTGTTGGGCAGAGAACGGTTCTTGATAGTGGGGTGAGCAGAGATAGTGTGAGGATGGTGGTAAGAGAACAGTTATTGAGAGTGGGGTGGGCAGAGAGAGGGTGCTTGGGAGAGTGGTGGGCCGAGGACAAGTCTTTGGAGAGGGGTGGGCGTAGGTAGGGTGCTTGGGGGAGTGGTGGGCTGATAACAAGTCCTTGGAGTGGGGTGGGCGTGGATAGGGAGCTTGGGAGAGTGGTGGGCTGAGAACAAGTCCTCGGATCGGGGTGGGCGTGTATAGGGTGCTTGGGAGGGCTGTGGGCTGAGAACAAATATTTGGAGTGGGGTGGGCAGAGATAGGGCTCCAAGGAGAGAGGTTTGGAGTAGAAATGGTTCTAGGGTGGGTGGTGGAAAGATAGAAGGATCGAGGGAGGGGGTGCGGGATGATAGCAGCGGGCTGACGCACAGACACCGGGCGAGGGTGTGTACATGGGGGTTGGCATGGGCGAGCGTAGAGCGTACCGGTAGAGGGTGGGTGGAGTAACGTGTGTCCAGGGCTTTGTGGGTGGTTCTAACGGTTGCAGTAATCCAGATGGCTTTTGGCGAGAGGTTTTTATCAGTTGGCAAGTGGGGCATGAGGCCACGTACAATATTGTTGCATGTCATGGCTCGCATTCGGCCAGTAATAATTACGTTGGATCATTTTCAAGGGTTTGTCAACCCCAAAATGTCTTGAGCAATTAGCGTCGTGAACCTCCTGTATTAGTCATTCCTATAAGAGTTAGTAGGATGGAACCCAAATTCGGTCAGTGTCAACTTTTACAGTAGGTGGCAACGATGAAAAGGGGAAAAGGAGATCAGTATTGTAGTTGTGGGTAAATAGTCCAGTTAGCAGCGGATTAGCTTGGGCGACTAGTACGGCGGCTGTATGGGCAGTAGGGCGAGAAAGGGCATCGGCAATGTTTCAGTATTTGCCCTCTTTTTGTAGGTGATTCGGTAGTGGAAGTTGGACTCGAGATATTCGAGCCAACGAATCTGACGTGGATTGAGGGTTGGTTGGCCTTGGAGGAACTGTAGGGACTTGTGGTATGTTTGGACAGTGACGTCGGCACCTGATAGGTAGCAGTGCCAGGCCTTGATGATCGCGAGAATTTCCTTGTCGTGAACTGGGTAATCCGTTCAGTGCCTTGAAGTTTCTGCGAGTTGTAGGCGATTGGCTGCAGTCCTTTGCCAAAGTCCTGTAACAATACCGTGCCAACGGCGATGTCTTTGGCGTCCATAACCAGTTCGTACGGGCGGCCGGGGTCGGCGATATGAAGAACGGGTGATGTCATGAGGAAAGTCTTCAATTGGTCAAACGCAGCTTGTTGCCTCTCCCCCCACACATAAAAAACTCCCTTCTGCAGCACGTCGGTTAGTGGGGCAGTTGACTCCGCCATTTTAGGGATAAAACGGTGCACGTAGTTAATGAACCCCATAAAACATTGCAACTGTTTGACGTTGGTGGGCGGCTCCCAATTGCGAACGGTGTGGATTCTTTTCTGATCAATTTTAACGCCTTCGGTGGAGATGACGTGGCCCAGGAACTCCGGCTCCGCCTTTAAGAACCCGCATTTAGAGCCTTTAATGATGAGTCGGTGTTGATCGTAGAGGGTAAAAACTGCTTCCAGGTCCTTCAAATGTTGTTCCCGAATGGTGTTGTACACCACGATGTCATCCAGGTAGACGATGACGCACTTGTCCAGTAGCGAGCGGAAGACTTTGTTCATGGTCAATTGGAAAGTTTAGGACGCGTTCGTCAACCCAAACGGCATCATTGTTTACTCATAACTTCCGTAACAGGTTCGAAGTGCAGTCTTCGGAATATCAGCTTCGATGGCACGAATCTAGTGGTAACCTCCTCGTAGATCAATCTTGGAAACAATCCTGGCCCCGCGAAGTTGGTTGGTACGATCGTCGGCTCGTGGAATCAGGTAACGCGACTTGATAGTGATGTTGTTGAGCGTGCGATAGTCTGTACACATCCGAAGCCCTCCGTCCTTTTTGGGGGTGAAGAGAATCAGCGCGGCGTAGGGTGATCTGCATGGGCGGATGATTTTTTTCTCCAACAGATAATCCATTTGTGTACGCAGCTCCATCAGCTCCAGTTGAATCAGCCTCCATTGCGATCAGACAGTCTGTCGCGCTCCCGGTTCCAGCTCAATCTTGTGATCGTGTGGTCAATCAGGTGGTAGGCCGGGCGGTAGATCGTCGGGAAATATCTTTTCGAATTTTCACATGATCTTTGCCAGGTCCTCAAGTACAGCAGCACACAGTTTCTCCAGGTTGGTTTGTTCAATCACCTCTGTTGATGCGATCCATCGGACGGCGTAGACGTCCACGCCACGTGCTATCACATGCTTGATAGTCACGTTGTTCACTAGTGTTGACTGAGGGTCGGGTGGTTTCCACTTCGGCAGTCGTCGCCACTCGCCACCCCATTTCAAACGAATGTCGCCATTCCTCCAATCGATGCTTGGATTGTACGTGGGAAGCCAATCGCGCCTCAGGAGCACATCGCAACCGTCCAATGTTGTCGCCAGCATCTTCATGGTGAAGCTGACTTGGCTGTCGCAATCAATGTGAACGCGTTTCAACCGCTCCCAAATCGCAAGTGGCGTGCCGTCGACCAACCGCACGTTAATTTCGGGCATGCATGTCTCCATTTGCAGCTGCAGCTTCTTCGCTCTTGTCACATCGAACAGACTGTGTGATGCTCCACCATCCACGAATATTTTTAATCTTGTATTGCCACCGCGCCCTTCCACCAGCACCGGGCAGTCAACACGTTCACTCCCCTTTAATTGGGTGTGGTCGATCGCATAGATCGGCACTACTACTAGGTGGGAATGGTGATCTTCGGCTGACGAAGCCCCGTCAGTAGGGGGCCCGACTGCTACTGATGCTATCCATTTCCCAGCTTCCTTCTGTCGTTAGCTCCTGATACCTGCAACTCCGGGCAGTCCTGCATGATGTGACATGGCTGGCTGCATTTATAGCACATGCCAGAAAATATGTTATCTGACGGTGCCGCTACGCGGTTGACGGATGGGTAAATTTTCTGCCCTCGAAAACTACTTCCTTCCCGGAAATTCGCCCTTGGACATACACTGTTCTCGTCCCACGCCTCCCACTATGTGTACAATGAGGTCGCCCTCTGTAGCGCATGTGACGCTATAGTCACAAACAATGCCTGCTATAGCTTCGAGTAGAAAGCAGCGGTGATGCAGTGCTCGAATCAAACGACTCCCATTTCGAACTCCTGGTGTCCGATGTCCTTGTCGTCGAGGAACTAAAATTTAACCTACTCTCAGCATCGCAGCAGATGGCATGGTGGATACAACTCACCTCCGACACTGCCAACATGGAGTTCCACCTGCATTCTAACGGGAAATACATCGGGCGAACAAAGAACAAGGATGGAGTGTTCGTGCTCGACATCGACCGCCCGGGAACAGTCAGCAACTTTGACCGCACCATCTTCACCATGGAACCTCGGATCGAGCGCTCGCAAAAACGATGGGTACACCCCACTAAACATTTCTACTTTAGCATACCCTAACCCCTAAGGACTCTGCTGCTCGCGATCCGTACCCACCTCTTCGACCTCCAATTTTGTCGGCACCACTGAAGCAGGCATCGAAGAAACCTCCCCGACAACTCCACAAATAGCCACTGCTGCAGCCGCAACCATCACACCACTAGTCGGACACGACCCCTACTGGACAATCCAAGGGACCGAGTAAGGAGCTCCACCTATGATGCAACCCTTTAGGAGCACACAATCAACAATGGATGCTCCTCCAGCAGGGTGGAGAAGCAGCGAAGCAGAATAGGGAAGCAGCGAAGCAGAATAGGGAAGCAGCGAAGCCGCACAGGGAAGCAGCAGAGCGGCATGGGCCAGTAGCGAAGCAGAATGGGACAACGGTGAAGCTGGGTAGGGCAAGAGCAAGGTGGGGCAGAAGCTGGGGAAAACAAATCGAAGAAGAACCAGAAGAAGCCACCGAACCTTCCCTCCTCGTCGACGTATAGCCCATGGTTGTAGACACTCGCACGACTGTTGACGAATCACTTGCCCTCCCCACCATCGGTCCTCTGACGAAAGCTCGGCAAGAGACCTGTGCGGACGTTCGGTGCCAGATCGAAGCACTCGTCGTCACAATGAACGAAGGCGATGCCGCCGATGCAACCCGTGTCTCACCTCTCGAAGAAGAGCATACAACTCTTGACGCAAAGAATTTTATTACTGGTCACAAGGGCATCGCGCAAATCCATACCTCTGGCATTAACACCTCGGTCACCCGTCCCGCGCCGTCCTCAACAGCTCTATTCGAGGCGACGTCTTTGAACCGCGCGCTTTATTGCTTCCTAACGACCTCGACATGACGACAACGCCTTATCCAACGACATGCACCATCTGTCTCGAAGCGGCATTGGCACACCAGCCGTTCCCATCACGCACTCCAGGAACCACTCACTACGCTCCTCTCGACAAAGTCTACAACGACTTTCTTAGTCATTCTCGATCCGACATCCACGACGAGCTCTATACGATGACCATCATCGACGCCTCTACCCGTTATGTCTGGTCCTTCAACTGCAAATACTGCTCGATGGCTGTCGACCTCTTCGCTCTCTGGATCAAGCAGGCTGAACAACAATCAGTACTTCAACTCAAATGTTTCCAAAGCTATGGAGATCTGGAATACAAGAGCGAGGCGTTCTGCAAGTACTTTCAAGACACGGGCATTGAACAGATGATTTCACTCCCTTACTCTCACGAGCAACAAGGCACCGCCGAAAGAGTCAACCGCACCATCCAGACGAAGATGCGTGCCCTCATGAAGCAGCTTGCTATATCGTCGGAACACTGGCCCTACGCCATGGACCAGGCAGTCTGCACAACCTCCTATTCAGGGTCCTAAATAGCAGACTTTTTTTGTCTGATTGTCTGATTTTCAGACTGGTTTTTAGGGGTTTCTCTGATTTTCCAGACAACGGTTTGAAAAAACTCTGATTGGCCTAGACAATCTTTTAAGATTTCTCTGAATTACTCAGACTAGGTGTACCAGTTTCTCTGATTTTTAGACAAGTGAATCGAGTTTCTCTGAAACTGAGACATATATGTGTACCGGCTCCACACACACCCCTCACACCCCAAAGATTTCGGCTAAGTCCCCCACACGAGAGACATTCCTCCCCACACCCCTCGCATACAAAAAAATTCGGCTAAGTTCCTCACACCAGAGACATTCCTTCCTCCCCACACCCCTCGCACCCCAAAAAAATCGGCTAAGTTCCCCACACCAGAGACATTCCTCGCCACCCACACCCACACCCCTCGCACCCCAAAAAAATCGGCTAAGTCCCCCCCCCCACATCAGAGACATTCCTCCCCATACCACTTGGGGGCGGGGGCAAACCCCGAAACGGCAAGGCCAAAACAGAGGGCTGCCTACACGTGACACGTCACGTGAGTCTCATCGCCCGCTTCCCCTTCGCCCTCGGCCCCGCAACACGTCACCATGATTCCATGATTGACACAGTCAAGCACCCCACCCCACGTGAGAACCAGGGTCTTGCAGGAAAGACGGAAACGTAAAAATTCCAGGTCAAAATTGCGGGCGACAAAGTTTCTTGCTTAAATATGCTAGCAGCAATATGCTCTCCATAGTTGTGGAAAAAAAGCAAAACAAAACAACACAAAAAACGGCTGGAAATCATGCCCGAAATTAACTCCCGCCAGAAATGACAAATCATGGCTGACGAAAAGTAAATACACGACTTCGTCATATTCGGGCAGATTCATCAATGCCGTGGCAAAAACAGCGAGGCCTCCTAATACCGTAAATCCATTTCTTTCGCCAATATCTTTTGGTTTTCGTTGCGCAGAGCATTTGTCGTGTCAAAGGCTGGACACAAGGCCGAGGCAAACATGCTCTCTGTGGTCGAAATGTGAACCTCGCGATATCTACATTCCCCGTAACATTTTTCCGAGCATGTACAGAAGACGTAAAAAGCGCGTGTTAGGGCAAAATGAACGCGCTGGACACGCCCTGAGCCTTCGTATGACGGTCAGATGAAAGTTCAAACCCAAGTCTGATTTTCAGATGGCCGAAAATCCTAGCAAAGTCCCTGATTTGGACGCTTAGCGGTTTTGCTCGTCTGTAACCCGCAACCGCTAATTAGTCAAAGTGCTGCAAGTTTCATCGTCTCATGCAAACAGACTAGGCAAATACATTTCTCTGAATTTTCAGACATTCGTTCTAGAATTCTCTGAAAAATCAGACATTTTTTTCCTTTCTCTGATAGTGAAAAGTGCATCAGACAAAGTGCGCAAACCTTGTCTGATTCCTCAGACACGTTTTTTTCCAAAAGAGAACCCTGCTCCTATTGATATGTGCACTATTCGACAACACATCACCACACCTTAAGTGGACCGGGACGAAGGGGAGCGAGCACTCGAATGCTTCGCGTTTTTTGGTGTATGGTGGAGTATAAATATTATGCAGCTCAAATGGCGAGCGACCTAGAAGCAACGACCATTAATGTAAAAAGTGGTCACCAACAATCAGAATCCAAACAGTTGATAGATATGTGTACGGTATTGGCTACTACAATGACTACTCAAGCAAGATACCGTAAGCTCTCTAACGCTTGGACCGGCAAATGACACTGCCGTAGTTTGCCGCCATTCCCGATGAGGAGCCCTGAGGTGACGACACGCTCGCCAATACAATGGCACGT